TTTGTTAGACAATATAAGAACCCTCTTAAAATCCATTTTATAGTTGTTTATCGACCCCCAGGACCACTAGAATATAAAAACCCTCTTAAAATCCATTTTATAGTTGTTTATCGACCCCCAGGACCACTAAGTAACTTCGTGGAAGAATTAGATGTGCTGCGCTCAAACTTTCCTGAGGATGGTACTCCCCTAGCTATGCTTGGAGACTTCAACATCCACCTAGATAAACCTCAGGCCGCAGACTTCCACACTCTGCTTGCCTCTTTTGATCTCAAGCGAGTGTTAACTATGGTTACTCACAAATCAGGCAACCAACTGGACCTTATTTACACACGGAGACTTGTCATTTTGCACTTACATATTGTTGCTCTTTTGTTAGTTTTGATTGCTTCTATTGTCCTCATTTGTAAGTCGCTTTGGATAAAAGCGTCTGCTAAATGACTAAATGTAAATGTAAACATGAGGACTTTATACCATTAAAGGAATAGTTCACCTAAAAATGAACATTTGCTGAAAACGTACTCATCCTCAGGTCATCCAAGATGTAGATGAGTTTGTTTCTTCATGGGAACAGATAGATGTTTCTATCAGCTGTTTGGACTCTCATTCTGACGGCACCCATTCACTGTAGAGGATCCACTTGTGAGCAAGTGATGGAACTTGCTTTCTCCAAAGCTTTTTCCATGAAGAAACAAACTCGTCTACATCTTGAAAATGTCATTTTTGGGTGATCTGTTGCTTTAATGACTAACTCTGACCTGTGATTAAACCCAAAGATTTAAGTGTGGACACAAGTGTCAGTATTTAGCTGGAACACAATTCCCTCACAGAGTAGTTTAGGAGAAAATTCCACAAATTATAAAAAGATCCCATCTGGTGCATGTTTGTTTCAGGTGACATTAAACACACACACACAAAGGACAAATGAAGTGAGACACCTGTTCAGATGGCGAGACAGGAACCCGTCTTTCTTCTACTAGACAGACATTTCCTGATGCCACAAAGATACTTCTGTAAGCCGAATGTCATCATTTGTTGACATTTTGAAGAGTTCTGGTTCTCTTGGACGTTTTGTTTACCATCATGGCCTCATGTGGCTGTATGTTCCTTCAAATATGATATGTGAATGCCCCATATATGTATATATATATATATATATATATATTAGTATAACATGGTATGTTTCATGCTGGACAATTAGAAACCATTAGCCCTGTATTTAAGTTTAGGTGTTAGTAATTTAATGTTTTTTTGTCATTTTTTATTAGTTTTCATTTTTTAAATATTTTATATTTATTAAGCTTCTTTTATTTCATTTTCACTCAATATTTTATTTTATTTTATTTATTATTTTATTTGACTTTACTTTACTTTATAAAATTATAATATTTGAGTCATCGGTCACCAGCGTTCCCAGAATGCGTTTATGTTGCTTTGTTTTTTTAACACAATGTGTTTATTAAATACTTTATTGACACAGTTACATAAATTACCTGACTGTATTTAGTGTGAATTTGTTCACATTTACATATTTGTTCACAATCTGTTTTTACGTGGCCTAAAAACAATGATATATACTATGAGGAGTGATGCTTAAATTGAGATCCTCATAGTTTTTAGGCCACGTAAATACAGATTATTTACATAAATTGTGCAATCTAAAATGTTATTGCCCTTTTAAATCACTGCAATGTAGAGAACTTCTTCAAATAACTTCACAACTTTTTTAACTACTTTAACTGCCTTTTAGAGGGTAGTTTGCCTGTAGTTGAACTACTTGTAATGATGAGTAGTTTGTACAGTCTGAACTCCGATCCGCCTCCTCTGAGTTAGCAGCACCTCTGCCAGTGGAAATTTCCCGCACATGCACTCTTATTAAAAGCCAAACACTTGAACTCTGCCATCTGACTGCAGTTCTCCATCGAATCCCACCCTTTATTTCTAAAGTGTTCAGTTTGAGATCTTTAGCTGCTCGTATCTCAGTTCTCTAAACTGCATCAGTGATCTTCTCCGAGAGTTTCACATCCCTCAGGTTAAACCAGTATTCAGCACGAGCCGTAAGAGTGAACGTGCCGATCTAAGACAGCTCATCTATGTCACATTAACCATCAGGGTGCAAAAGGAAGAACTGACCCTACTTGAAGTTTTGTTTTCTTTCCCATGCTGACATTTAGACCCTTCATGCTAAATACCAGAGCTGCTCTAGAAATGTCTACATGTATCATGGTTAGTGCATGCTATGCTTTCTTTTTATTCAAAGTTGCAATGCTAAGTTTTTTATATTAGTACTTTTTATAATTTGTTGTAAAAACACCGTAACGTAACCCTTTAACAATAGTAAACACTGGTTGTTCTATATAGGCAAAACTTGAATTGTATTTTGTTTTGGACACGGCCTTACAAGCAAGCAAGCAAACAAGTTTCTTTTAAGCAAATCACTTTGTTTGGATGGTTAATTTTCAGTAAACTGATCAAAAAAATGATAAAATATAAAATGTGTTATTAAATATAAAGTTTGTTTATTTACTGAGTTATATAGATTACTTGACTGTATTTAATGTGAATTTATGTTCAAATTTAATGCTTTCATTACGAGCGATAATATAGTTTAAATTATGCGACAATAAAAACAATCATGCAGTTGAGATTTGCTAAATAGTCTGTATCGCTTTACGTGAGTAACTGCTATCCTAATATGTACATAATGTTTGGAAATAAATGAAAGGCTGTTGCCTGAAATAAACACATTTTATCACCTCAACAAAAGGAACTGGAAAAATTATTTTCAAACAGGTTTCCCTCATCTTAATTATCTTCATCTTGAACTTGTTATAATGGCGGGAGGTTTTGCTGTAGGTGACGTGAATGTTTTAAACCGAGGAAACCAAATGATACGGTCTCTTCAAACAAGAAGGAAGAGGGAGATGTGCAAAAGGCTGATAATGAAAAGGAAGGGAGAAAAAATACTTTGAGAAGGAGGTTAAAGTTTGTTTTTACAGTCTTGACATTCAGATAGAGATCTGATAAAGACTGTTCACCTGCCTTCGTGAATCTTTAAGGCTCTGAATATCCTGTGATAGTGGACAGTTGTGTTCCTAAAGGACAGTTTTACCATCACACACATGATTTGAGAGTCTCATGTGAAGTAACATTTAACTTGTTCAAATCAAGGGCCGCATTACTAAAACGTGAGGTTTAAACCTTTCACAACTGAGTTGAATGTTATCAGTCTGAGTCAGAATGCGACTCTGGTCCAAAATCTAGTAAACTACGTCAGCTACTGTAGGTTAATGGTAACTGATGACTCTGCCTTCATTGACACAGTAAGGTTCTAATTAAAGTTTTATGAGTTCCCAAAAGACGACCCCCAAAGCTCATTGTCATCTCCTCGCATCCGTTAAAAGAAAGCTTTACAGTCAAAGTCATTGTGAAAATGTGTGCGGTTGCTGGTGCCATTGTCAATGTTATGAATGTAGGCCAGTTTTTTTTCTTTTTACAGCCCTGTCTGGGTTTATGGACATTTCCTTTTGTGCAAGAAAATGCTTATGTTCTTTGTGTCTGAAAACAATGCTTGCTTACTCAACACAACCCGGGATTTCTTGTTGGAACTAAAATGAGGATTTTTCTTGTTGGAAATAGATTATGGGTGCACAGATGTCCTAACAATGCTTCTTAAATCCTAAAATCCTTCTTAAAGAGAGTTCGCCCCAAAAAAAATACTTTGGAAGTCAATGGGGACCATCAACTGATAGGTTGCCCACATTCTTTAAAATATCTTCTTTTATGTTCAACAGAAGAAATAAATTCATATCGGTTTGGAACAACATGAGGAATTAGTGAATGATGACAGAATTTTCATTTTTGAGTAAACTATCCCTTTAAATAATTCTTTTAAATATAAAAGCCAAAAGATCATTTGCTAAAACACCAAAAATGCACTCTCTGACACAAACATATAGTAGTCATGAAAGTACTTAAACACTTCTGAACGTGAATTTCATTGCATTAGATAAAATATGTGATATTTGCAAACAAATGTTCCTAGAGCTTGAACTCAAAAATTTTTACAATATTTTGTAATTATATATTTTTCATTTGAATTTAAAAGCATTTTAATTAAACTTTTCTAAATTTCTTTACTTAAACAACTTTTATCAATAAATCTTTAAACTGTAAAAGTTTTAAAAGTTTAAATTTGATCAATCTTTAAACTTGCTCTGACTCAGACCGCTTTCAGTCTGTCATTTGGTTAAGTACATTTGCTTCAGTGCTTGTGTGTGGATCCAAGTAATATAATATATGACTGGTCTCCAAGGTCCTGATCCTGGGAAAGTTACCGTGGCTTTGGGAATAGAAAATATGTTGATGAACTTCTGAGATGAAGCAAATATATTTTACTCTGCCTTAATATTCCGAGATCATTTTCCCTCGACAGTCTGTGATAAATCTGATTGGCATCTTTGATGTTTGATGGGAAAAAAGTGATGTGTGGAATATTCAGGCTTTGAGAAACACCACTAGGGTTTATAAATATTCCCTCCCCTGGTTCTCATGACTTCAGATAGAAAAGATAGTGGAGTTGCACATGTTGGAGCCATAAATCAATGTTTTCCTGGTTACAAGATACTGTTGTGGGCATCCGTTGAAATGACATCTGGTGCCGTGACCCTGCCGATGATTCCCACTGACTTCCTGTGTCCGGATGGAAAGCAGAAGATTACCCAGCGTTGTGTTTGACATTTATGATTAGTCTGTGTCTCTTGATGTGGAAACCCTTCTGATGTGTTGCACACTAGCTGCGTCAGATTTCATATTAATATCTGTGTGTATCACAGAAATACTGATGAACTTGCATGTTGTCTGTTTCCTATTAATAAAGCATTTTTCTTTTTGTTCCCATGGAACGTTCAACAAAAGACATGCACTAGATGATTTGTTTTAATGTGTGTTACCAAGCCAGCCATCTGAGGCCAATAATAACGCTGTTGTTTGTGTTTCAGTGGCGATGCCGTTCATCATAATGACCATCATGTTCCGGCCGTACCAGCGTGGCATTTACTGCAATGACGAGACCATCCATTACCCCTACAGACCAGACACCATCTCTCACAAAATGATGGCGGCTGTTACCATTTCCTGCTCCATCATTATCGTGAGTCTCCACCAATCAATCAGCTAAGCAACCATTAAAGGAGTAGTTCACCCAGAAATGAAAATTTGCTGAAAATTTGGTCACCCTCAGGCCATCCAAGATGTAGATGAGTTTGTTTCTTCATCAGATTTGGAGAAATGTAGCATCACATCACTTGCTCACCAATGGATCCTCTGCAGTGAATGGGTGCCGTCAGACTGAGAGTCCAAACAGCTTATAAAAACACCACAATAATCCACAAGTAATCCACACCACTCCAGTGTAATCCAGTTAACATCTTGTGAAGTGAAAAGCTGCATGATTGTAAGAAACAAATTCATCATTAAGACTTTTTTAACTTTAGAGCTTTGCTTCTGGCCAAAATGTAAGTCCATAATTCATAATAATGCTTCAGTGAAAAAGTCAATTTCCTGTTGTTCTCTCACATCAAAATCCACCCACATATTTGTTAAGAACTGTTTTAGACTGTTTTCACTTGTAAATGATGATTGATCTGTTCATATTTCTGTAGAAATCAATATTATAGATTATGGTATTATGGCCAGACGAAACGGTTTTGAAGTTAAAACATCTTGATGCATTTGTTGGAAATTGGAGCCTGTGTTGGAAAAAATGGATAGTGACTGTGAAGCTCCAAAAAGGACAAAAATGTACCATAAATGTAATCTAGAAGACCAAAAGAATCAAATTGTTTCATCAGTGATTCGGTCACAGTGGTTCTCATGTTATTGGTTCACTGAAGTCTGTTTATTCCTCACACAAAGCTATCGTATGAATTAGTTAGAATGTAGCACACAATTCAATAGGAGCTACTTTTGTTGACTGTGACAGATGTAACTTCAGTTCAAAGTGACCACATTTTTACCTTTATGTACCAAACATGAGGGTGAATATATAACCACAGAAATCACATTTTTGTGTGAACTATTCATTTAAGGAGCATCATAACTGGCTAAAATGATTTGATATCGAACTATTTGTGAGAGCCAACCAGTTGCGGTAATTCTGAAATGAATCTATTGCGTAATTTGGTTGCAAAAACATGCAGGTGGGTTTGGGTATTGTGTCCACATTTTCTGAGAGAACATTGTAATTAGTTCAACATGATTCATCAGTGAGAATACAATTGAAAACATGAGTCATCTACATCACAGACTCATACTCTGACTTTCATTTACTCTCATTACTAAGAATTAATCTTTATGTAACACATCTGATACACAATGGTAATACAAAAGTGTGTTACATAACACATAGGTGCATAAGAAATTAATAAAAAATGTATGAGCTATTGCAATTTGTCCCCAAAGAACCTTTCAGTGATCAATTCTTAAAAGAACCACTTTTTCTTAGTGTGAAAAACATTTTAATAATCTAAAGAACCGTTTTCCAATAAAAAGAACATTTTGTGGAATGGAAAGATTCCATGGATGTTCAAGGTTCTTCATGGAACCATCAATGCCAATAAAGAAGCTTTATTTTTAAGAGTGTGAAGAACTTTTTGTGGGATGGAAACATATTAATGTTTTTTTCATGGAACTATAGATGCTAATAAAGAACCTTTCTTTTTAAGTGTATTACTCATTCACCCTAAGAAACCTTAAAGGGGTCATATGATGCTGCTAAAAAGAACATTATTTTGTGTATTTGGTGTAATGAAATGTGTTTATGCGGTTTAAGGTAAAAAAAACACATTATTTTCCACATACTGTACATTATTGTTTCTCCTCTATGCCCCGCTTGTAACACTTCGAAGAGAAAGGAAAAATTTAAATCGCAGCATATGATCCCTTTAAACCTTAAAATCGTGTTGTTTTCTCACTTGCAGATCACTTCCGGAGAGGCTTACCTGGTCTACACCAAACGTCTCTACTCCAATTCGAACTTTAACCAGTACGCTGCGGCGCTCTATAAAGTGGTGGGGACGTTTCTGTTTGGCGCGTGTGTGAGCCAGTCTCTGACCGATATGACCAAGTACACCATCGGACGATTGCGGCCCAACTTCATGGCGGTGTGTGCTCCGGAAGTGTGTGAGGGCTACATGCTGGAGATGAACTGCACGGGAAACCCTCGCAACGTGACCGAATCCAGGTACAGAAGCAGGGGACGAGAAGGGCCGGTGAAAGAGGTCGTAAACTGCTAACCTCACTTCCTGTATTTGTTTATATTTGTCACCTGTTGTTTCACTTCCTGTTTGACCAGTACATTTGTGCTTTCTTAGGCTTTGACCTTTGCAGTCCAAAGGTCTCACTTGAGTTCTCAAATGCCTTGTGTCCTCAAGAGACCTGAAATAATAATAGATTTGATTATACATGCACTAGAAAGTATGATGTGTGGTCACACGCATCTTTTTTTTTTTTTTAAGGAACTATTTGTGTCCTGTAATCAATTAGGTTACATTTTTTTAATTATGATTTTAAATGTATTATTATTTTATTATTATTATTATCATTTGTAATTCTTTTCCTTTTAAAGTATAAATTAATATAGATTTACATTTTTTTTGTCTATTTGCTTTTATTCTAATTTTTAAACATTTTTATAATTTCTTCATCCCACACAGTGTTTTTAACTAAAACTATTTAAAAAGTGTTTTTGGTAATTGAAATAAAGCTGAAATAAAATAAAATGTAAATATTAGATGAAAAGTAGAAATGACAACAGCATATAACACAATTACTTAGACTTGTGCTTAAATGAAGAAAATAAAAGCTAAAGATATAAAAAAGCTCATTTAAAATATTTATAAATACTATAATAAAAATATAATAAATAATATAATAATAAATATAATAATTAAATAATAATAATCATTATTATAATAAATATATTAAATAATATTTAAATAACACTTTTAACCAAGAATTGCTGTTATCAGTATTGCTGTCATAACCAATACGCTGTACATTATAGGTCACAATGTTTATAATAATAATTTTTGGTTATTATATAAATGAGAAATGTGCCATCTCTGAGAGATGAAGATCAATAATTTAAATTTTTAAGATTTTTACACGTATCACTAAACTGATTATCTCAGAGTAGGTTTAAAGGGATAGTTCACCCAAAAATATAATATAAAATATAGTGTAATTTGTGTTCCAAAGATGAACGAAGGTCTTATGTGTTTGGAACGACACGAGGGTGAGTAATTAATGACATAATTTTTCATTTTTGGGTGAACTATCCCTTTAAGGTTAGTAGGTTTAGGTTTAAGTATTATTACCAAACCAATCACATTCACATCATCGCACATCATACCAAAAGGCACTCGGAGGTCAAGGCTGTTATGAACATGCGATAAATATTTTAACACCGATGAAACATAGTATGAAAGTGAAGAATGACCCATAAATGTGTCATTCTAAATGATTCGTGCACTGTGAAAATTATTTTTTCCCCCTTTCTCCTTGTATTGTTGTCTTGTATCTGTCCGATCCGTCCTTCCTCCGTGGATTGTGTTGTGCCAGGCTGTCGTTCTACTCCGGTCACTCCTCCTTCGGGATGTACTGCATGTTGTTTCTGGCGGTGAGTTGTCACAGTTGTCTTCCTCTCCTGCAATCATGCTGACACAGAAGACTTGTGTAGACAGATAAAGGAGAGCTCTCAGAGCAACAGGAAACACCACGGAGACAATAAACTACGACCTCAAACATTCCCAATGTCTCCAGCTTTAAATCAAGACAGTATATGGTGCTTAAAGGAACAGTACACCCAATAATTATAGCTCTGTTATCATTTACTCACCCTCATGTTATTTCAAACCTGCATGACTTTTTCTCTTCACAGCATGAAAATTCTCATTATGTGTTCCAAACAAGAAAAAGGCATACAGGTTTGGAGCGGCATGAGGGAGAATGAATAGTTTTCTGGTTGCTTCACTCATGTCAAGACGTGTCTGTAGTGTAGTCAAGTCATATTCACACAAGGTGCTTTCCCATATCTTTTAAGGAATTGCTATGACTTGCATTGATTTTCCTTCTACTGAACCCTGAAGACTGATTTTCCATTTTCTTCCCATATTCTCTTTTCAAGTATTGTGTAATCCCTCCTTGTTTCTCCTGTATAGCTGTATGTCCAGGCACGTATGGCATTCAAGTGGGCCCGCCTCCTCCGGCCCACAATTCAGTTCTTCCTGGTGGCCTTTGCCATTTATGTGGGTTACACACGTGTGTCTGACTACAAGCACCACTGGAGCGACGTGGTGGTGGGTCTCCTGCAAGGGGCGCTGATCGCAGTCCTCACGGTGAGTGGGGTGAATCTCATGAAATGACGAACAAATTATAAAACCATTATAGTTTGAATATAAAGAAAAGAAATCCTGTTTTAGAAACATTGGGATATCATTTTTTTTGAATTGTGAAATTATGTCCACGATTAAGCCCAAATAAAAAAAAATACTGAAAAAAGAATAATGTGTAAGTAAGTATATAAATGTACTCAATGAGAATTTTTTTATTCCACGTTACAGTAATTTTAATAGAATTTGGATGGAGAAATTTGATTATTTGTTAAAAAAACTTTTTTTTTTTTTTTTTAAATAAATCTAATATATTATTTAATACATATATAATATATATAACAGTAAATCTATAATAATATATTTATTTAATAAATAATAATATATAATAATAAAACAATAGATATTTAAAATATTGTTATTATTATTATTTCAGTGTTCTACAAATCTGCAAGCTGCATTAGGACTTTCTCCTCTCCGTCACAGGTGCGATACGTCTCTGACTTCTTTAAAGAGCGCCCCCCTCGCTGCCAGGATGTTGAAAATGCTGAAAACGAAGACAGCGAACGCAAGCCCAGCCTTCAGATCGCAGACACGGACAGAAACCATCACTCCTACAGCAGGCCTGTATGAGCCTGACCTTTGACCTGTGAGAGCACTGGATGCTGCACCATGTCTCGTACAGACAGCCACACACACTGTTCTCTGGCACTGACTGCGCTCTCTTCCACAGGATAATGCTCCCATTTCACACAGAGAGCGAGCGAGTGAATGCATGAACTAACACTGAATATTAGATTTTAAACTTCTCTACAGACCGTGTTTATACCGGATTTTGTCTTATGCACGCTCATATACGCCAAGTGCACAGATCGCCTGACATCTAATTGAACCGTTAGGGACTTTATTGTATCAGAGCACAAAGACGAACTTCTCCAAGGGGAACTGGTTGTTTCCATGACAACCTCAAAACCACCGGTTGACATTTACTGACTAGCCGTACTTCTGCTGTTGGAAGCGATTGTTTCGGCATGGGAAAGAAAGTGAACTTTTCCTAGCCATCAGAAGACAAGAATTAATGTTTCGCTTAGTAAGAAATCCAGGAAGAGAAGTCTGAACATGGAACAGATGCCAAAAAAGGTCTTTCTCACATTGTCAATTAGATATTTTATACAATTTGATATGTGTGTTATATATATTATATATAACTGGATTATAGTGACTTTATTATTATTTTTATATATAAAGAAAGGTTATTTTCCTGTGGCGGTAGGTTTAGGGACTTTTCTAAACGTAACATTTTGGTGAACTAGTTATTATATCCGCACACATCTAGAAGAAATTCTGCATAGCATGAATCATTTTTATATTACTTTTTTATGTTTAATTTTCTAAAGACTACCATGACAACTCGTGATTTCAATCTAGCTTTGTCGCGTCGCTCGCTCTCATAACGATACGATTTTATGAAAACCACTATCTAACCGAGGCACATATATATATCGGTATATTTCATGGAAATGAGTCTTACTAACCATCCTATCCAACAATAAGGATCAGGAAATGTTAACTATCAGATTTAATACGTTTAACAGCTGTTTATCTCTTAATATTATCACCACGTGAACGTGAAAATGCTGCTTGTAATGTTAAAATCACAGCCAATCATAAAGCTGTATGCTGATTCTGAACCAATGAGGATTCACTAAGGGGCGGAGCTACCCAACATGACAAGAAACTGACGCTTGTAGATTAAAACGAACTTGCAAAATGTTGTACCTACATTATCGGGCTGAATGTTTCCACAGCATTATGATTGTTTAGTTTTATATGCATGTTTACAGTGAAAAACGACTGGCGGATTCAAGAATCAGGCTAGTTTTATTTTCTTCATGTCAAGCCTTTGCGTATGACGAAATGACGTTTTAAACGTAAGGTGTGTTTAAACATTGGTCCATTACAATATTAGCGTTCAGGATTTTGTCTCCATTTACACTTATCCTTAACTCTGATTTTCCTCATTTTATCGAATTCTAATTTATGTTCATTCGGAGCTCGAACCGAATCTCAGCATCGAGTGCCTCCTTCCAGGAAAATCCAATTGATCACCAAGTCGTTAAAGTCCCCATGAAATCAAAATTAAAGTTTTTTGGGTGTTAGTATCAATATGTTAATCTTAAGGTTATCTATAAGGCAGTGTGCTCCAAAACAGTGTCAAAATTCGCATTTAGAAGATATAAGCATTCAAAGCTTGCAGTTCGTCACTTCCGCCAAAACGGCTCAACGATTTTTTTGACGTCACATCGTACTTCAGCTTCTCATGAAACTTTCTGTCCAATCAAATGCTCTCTAGAATCCGAAGCGCCCGCCCCCTACACTATAAAATAGACGCTGAAGCCGCGGCTGAAATCGGTCACTTGTCCACAGAATTAGTATTTTCTGTACAGTGAATGGCACGTAGTGCACTATATAGGGGACAGGGAACGATTCAAACAGTGTAAATAAAAGGGGTGGGGCTACTTGATATGTCCCGCCCTGTCTTCCTGTTTCAGGGGACCTTTAAGACTGAATGGGCAGGTGACATTGAAATATTAATAATAATAATAAGTATGCAAATTGGAATACAACTACTGTAAGTCTGTACTTTGCCAGTGGAAAAAAGTAGTGCCATCTCGTCTTAAAATCCTACAAACTTTCTCGTACAACTTGCGCTAGCATTAGCTGAATTAAATACCTTAAAATTAATTATAATCTTTAGGTTTAGACACTTAAGAACTGTCTTTGCTTTCTCAATATTTTTCTACAGCTGAAAAGGAAATGTCAAATATTCCTCCTCTTCCAAAATAAACCATGTATTCTGGCATACATTTTAACTTCCCCTCTCACCTATTATGTTATTAATGTGGGAAAACTTTTTTTAAAAATAAAATTTTTCCCTCTCACGTTATTTATGGAGGAAAAACAATCATATTTTTTTTTATTAAATCTTTTTTTTTTTTTGTCGCCTCTCACCTGTTGTTTATGGAAAAATACATTCCTTTCTTAGTTTCAAGTTGTTGACAATCGCTCATCTAAACCCTGCACAACAGAACCTGCTGTCTACTGTGAGTTGCTAATGCTGCATTTTTTTATGGACACTATATTTAGTGAATATGAATGTCTCCCTTTTTTTGCTTCTATATGGAACGGAGACTCTCTTGTGACCGATTTAGTCACAGAAAACCGGACGGCCTTAAAATAAATGAGGACTGAGCTCAGAGAGTGACTTACACACTAAATGTGCAGAAGATTGTGGCTCATGTTTACACCTACATGCTGTTGCCAATATGTGTGAAATGCAACTTTTGTTTTTAGTTGAATGTTCCAGAGCAATGTTGAGTATTTTTGGAGGATTGCTGTAAGATTGTGCAGAGAGAGAGAGAGAGAGAGAGAGAGCACAACTTCATCAAGGATAATACATCAGTTTCAAAAATTGGTTGTGAAATATACATTATAAAAATTGAAAAATTATGTGCATTAAGTTGCATAGATGAACATATTACAATATATGTCAAAAAATATTGTCCAACTGATTTAGTTGAAGCTACTGAACTTTTTCTTCAAAAAGGTAATAACTCTAAACCACTTATAATGTTTAGAGCTCCAGACATTTTACATGAACCAATTATTATTTTGTAATGATTGGCATCCGTGACTTTATGAGAAGTTTTGAGTGTATAGCATATAAATGATGCACATATATATTTTTTATTTTCTCGGTATGTTTTATATTTGTTTATACCTAACATTCGAAATAAAATAAAAAAAAGTTGTACAGCATCATTTGCCATAATGTTTCTGCTCTTGCTGTAAATGAGCTCAAAACGGAAATTAATGACAAGTTTTGAAACTGTTCGACGTTCACTGTGCAGATGTCTTTAATGGTTTTATCTTATCAGTTGGTAACACTTCATATTTCAACGTCTGTTATCTGAATGACATGTTTGCTAGGCCAAGTATTATTATTACTCTTGCTCATACTTGCTGTTAAAGGTTTGCTTCAAATCACTGACCATACATGCACTGAACATTTCCAAGAATTCAGACTCAATTATTTATGATTTTATATTCAGCATGTGCCTTTAATTGGATGAAATATTCAGTCCGGTGCCTTTCAGCCAAAAACTCCCCCTTATCTAACACAGAGACGATTGTACAAGGGAATTGTGGGAATTGAAGCAGCCAAAAATGTCAGATAAATCCTGCTTCTTTTCATCAGATTGGTGTTCAAGGACAGTTGATTCTCTTCAGCTTCATTGTAACCAGTTAAATGCAGGCAGGGCTGGAAACATCTGAGAAACACTGACTTCACATTTAATGTCCTCAAGTCAAAGTGTATATGTACAATCTCTTTTATATTGTCTATAGGTGGGACTGGTTTCAATTCAGGCTGGTTTTCATTTATGTGTTGTGTCATGGACACGTGACATCCCGCTACTACATAGAGCTTTATTTACAGTCCATGTGATCCAACAAAAGGAGTTTTTTTATATTTTTTATCCAGCACTGATTCTTGACAAACACACCAAAAAGTTTTCCACTTCGAAATGAGTCAGAGATGATCACTTAAAGGGGGTCATATGATGCGATTTCAATTTTTCCTTTCTCTTTGGAGTGTTACAAGCTCTTGGTGCATAAAGAAGATCTGTAAAGTTGCAAAGACTAAAGTCTCAAATCCAAAGAGTGTGAAGACACGACCCAAAAATGTTTCCAGTGCTTCATCCTCGAAGCATTCTGGGATGTATGACCTGCATTTGACCGGTGATATTTCATGGTGCTGTCTTACATCAGTCAGATAAAACTGTGTGGCCATTTCAGCCAAAAGATTCGCTCATCAGTTAAATGGTTTTAGATGCACTAAATCTATCAGTGTTTGACGTCAACTGAGCAGGTTTCAACACATTTTAATTTATTTTTATCAGTTAGTGTTAATGCCATTTTGGAAAAGTTAGCAAATAAACAGTCAAGCCATTACATTTGTTTAGATAGGGGGTGAAGATCTCCTAACTAGTTCCACATGGAGCAAAGCAAATGCGAACCTGATCTGACTGATAAGTGTTTGATCATAGCGCAGCCTAGTGTTGAAACCTACATCATAAGATCGCAGCCCCAGAGTTTGTTTGTTCATAGCCTGAACTGTCCTGGTTTACAATTAAGAGGTTTAAAAACATACAGAGTAGGGATGTAACGATTCACTCAACTCACGATTCGATTCACAATTTTTTATTTATTTATTTTTTTTTATTGCTTGGACAAAATACTGTACGTTTCTTGAAATATAGGCTAACGCTATAATAATATACTAATATAGTACTTGTAAATTATTGCTCTTTTGTTGGTTTTGATTGCTTCTGTTGTCCTCAGTCGAGTTGGTTGGATTTGAATCGTCACATATTTAAATTGATTTTCAACCGGCTCGCGGTTAATCGTTACATCCCTAATATAGAGTTGTATAAAATAGTTTTTTTTTTTTTTTTTACTAAATTCTAGGTGACTTTCTGTGTATATGATCCACAGGAGAGAAACAGACATGAATTTGTTTAATAAAATGATATTTTAATCAACCTTTTGTGTACTTAATGTCTTTATTATGCATTAACCATTTTCAAATGCAATAAAGCACTCAGGATTGTGCTGTATTGTGAATAGAAACACACTAACAGCATCCTTTGACCATGATTTTATTCACAATACAGCACAGGTTCTCATGCTTTATTGCTTCATTTATCATTATAAAGTGAGTATTCATATTTGAACAACAGTAGCCTGTTTATTACAAGCAAAAACAGCATAATTTCTCTTCGAATATTGTGTGAAACTAATGCTATGCTCTCAAAATGACAGTTTTCTTAAAGGAACACTCCACTATTTTTGAAAATAGGCTCATTTTCTTCAGTGAGGGGAAACGATGCGATGACTTCAGGGTGTTTCGAGCTCTTTACTGACACAGTTAAAAGCTCTGGGGGAAAAAGTGAAATGGTGCTATAACAGGAACACCTCAACGTCCATTTGTCTAGAAGTTTCCATGCCTTTGTTTTGAACTCATTTTGACACAAAACTGGCGTTTCTGTGTGGGAGATGATACGGAGAAACCCGTATCTTGCCTCCATTGGCCTGTCACACTGAAAGACAAAACAAAGCACACAGGATAAACACAGAAACACAGTATTAGCTGCAGTTATTGGCCAGCATTGCTGGAGATGACAAGGACAGAACTAAAGACATAAGAGATGATTCTGGTTGGATTTATGCTTTGATTTTCAATATTTTTCAGTTACCACGCTTTTAGGAAACATCTAAATTAATAGCCCACAAAATACATTAGGATGTTTCATCATCTTCAAATAAACAATGTATTTCATGAAGCAATGAATTTCATGAAATGATTATTAAAACTAATATCTGACTCAAAAATGTTACGATTTTTTTTTTTGTCTTTGTAATCTTTCATCAAAAATCTAGGTATGCCCACTTGGATCTAATGATTATTAAATACCACTTTCATAATTAAAAATTAATTACTGATGGATAAGAGCCCAAACTATTTTTTTTCCTCATTAAATATCTATTTTACTCAGAAATGTGTCACATTACAAAAGTAAAATGTTTTAGTAATTTTGTTTTTGTCATTTTTACTAGTTTTTTTTATTGAATGTTGATTGTTTTCATTTTTATATTTTTAATTTTTGTTTTAGTAATTTTTTTTTAATGTCTATATATGATTTACATTTTTATTGATATTTTGAATTTGGACTTTTTATGTAAACAGTTACAAATGACTTATGAAATGTGACACTGTACAATTTTGGAAATGATATGGTAATTTTAGTAAAGGTTTTTGAAAATCTTTTAAAATGTTAGCACAAATGTATTCATTATTCATTTACTAAAGAAGTGTTTTAGTAAATATATTGTTTTAGACAATATAAGTTTTTAGACAAAATGCTCATGTATAGTTACCATTAGTTGTTGGCCATAAAGAAAATGTTTAATATATTTATAATTTAATAAAATGTATTTGTTTATTTATTTATTTTTAGATTTTATATCATGCATTCTTAATGCATTATTTAAATGTGCATATATATATATATTATTGTTATTATTTATGGGAAATATATATACATATTCATAAAATAAGAAACGTATATTATAACATGATATTAAATAATATAATCAATTATATGATAATATTAATAAGTATATTATATAAAAGTAATATATATATATATATATATATATATAAATATATTTAATGTAATATATTAGTAGATAAAAAAATAATACCTTACACACACACACAAATATATTACTCACCAGAATATTCAGCTTGCTTTCTAATTGGCTGACAGAGCTGTCAGACAGCTGATTGGCTGATTACGCCCGGCATGTGAAAAACACAGATGCGGTTCGCTCCGAGTTCGGCTCGGAGGGCCACAAGAACAGATGAAGGGCTTCTGACAAGGCACCTGATGCCCATGCCCAAGCACTCTGGGGCCTGACCCGGTGCATTCTGGGACTGGCCCCGTGCATTCTGGGAAGGGCGGGCTGGGGAGGGGTAGTGGCTGTCTTTCACTAGTCTCACTCCATGGGAAGGAGTGGGTCCTGTGAGGAAAACCAGACGTCAAGGTGAATAAGCATTCGTCACTAAAAAGCCATTTGGAGGCGAGGGAGAGATGAAATCACAGCCGACTGAAAAACCATCCCCCTGTAAGCAGTAAAAGCATGAGTCAGGACGCACCTAGTGTTTGAGAGCGGGAGACGGGCCGCGGGCGGAGGACGAGAGAGGTGCTGGAGAGCCAGGAGAGAGTGAATCATGGGACGCTGAAGGAGAAGGAGATCTCACTTTCTCCTGAAAGCACAGAGAGTAACACAACTAAACCATGTCCACAGAAACGTCTCTTTTTCTTTTTTTTTAAATAATAATTTTAATAATAAAACTATTAGATATAATATTTAGGGCCCTATGAAATACATTTTATTTTTCCCAAAATTCCGTGGTGTTTAATTAAAAAGGATGTCTAATCCACTGAAGACACACAACGTTAACAATGTAAGAATTTGAACAATAATAGGACAATATGAAAACCATATTTTTTCTTTAATTTTGTTTTATTCTGTGTCCCGTTTAAATTTTCCTGGATTACGCTTTTAACGGTTTAATTAAATTTGATGAAGAACATGTCTAATTAGTTAAATTAACAATATTTTAACAATGTAATAATTTATTACAGTTTTAACAATAACAGGGCTCTATGAAAAGTGTTTTATGTTTTTAAAAATTCCATGTTATGTTTCCACAATTTCTGTGTTTTCTTTTTTAATTTTTCTGGATTAGGTTTTACATTTTTTTTATTAATTTTTAATAATCAAAAAGGATGTCTAATCAATTAATTCCTAAAATTTTAACAATAAGATGACCCTATGAAATGCGTTTCAATTTTTCAAAAATGCCATGACTTGCTTTTTCATTTTTCTGGATTAGGTTTTTAATGGTTAATTGAAATTGTATTAATCAAAACAGGATCTCTAACCTACTGAACTCACAAAACTTTAACAAAATAATAATTTCTTAACATTTTAATAATAATACTGCCCTATGAAGTGTCTTCAGAAATTCTGTGTTGTCTGTTTGATTTTTTCTGGATTCTGTGCTTTATGATTTAATACAAATTTATTTTCAAAAATGGTGGTAATCAGCTGAATGCATACAATTTCAACAATTTAATAAATCATTTAAAATGTCATCAAATAAATTGGACAAATTGCCTTCACTCTTTGGCCAACAAAGTGCTGCACAACAGAGGTTTATTGTTTAAATTAAAACATGGATACAATTGTGTGATATTCCTTAAAAAAATTAATAAACTGTATTATTATTGTTATTATTACTTTAAGAAAACCAAACTTTTATTTTGGGGAGTTGTAGTCTCTGTGTGTCTATGATGATATTTTCTCAGTGAAATGGTGAATTGCTGGCAACGAGACTCTCAGAGCAGCTCTGGAGATGAAGTTCATGTGTTCATGTCCTCAAAAAACACCACCTCATATTTCAGCAGCAGTCTTTTGCGGTTCAGTATCACAGACACTAAGTCCACTAGTACAGCCCTACTTTTGATCTGTTCATCCAAATTTTGGCAAATACCGTGACTTTCCACATTATACGGTAAAAATCCATTTGCATGACTGGATTCTGTGATTCTGTATCATAGGGTCCTAGATATTTTTGATAAACTATAATTTACCAAACCATTTAAATAGCATGAAAAGGACATAGTTAAACACATAAATGGTCTGTTTCAGACCCTATTTTATGGGAAATGTTGAGTATTTGTATGAATTATTTCCTAATGAATCCATCTGTGACCCGCTCCGTACCTGAGTGGGGCTCCTGCAGAGTCCGGGCGAGCGTGGTTGAGATTGAGGCGAGGAAGAGCCTTCTCTGGACGGATTCTTCCTGAGCACCGGGGAGCTGTTCAGTCCATTCCCTTCCGTCGATCTGGGAGAGACTCCTGCGGGTGACGCACTTTTCTGCAAACACAGACAGTACAAGATGTCATCAAAAACTTCAAATCATGCGACCTTTAAAGGGGTCCTATTATGCTCTTTTACAAAGTCTTGATTTTGTTTTGGGGGTGGTCTAGAACAGGCTCTCATACTAGGTTGTTCGAAAAACATTATTTTTCACATATTTTACATTATTACAACACCTCTCTCCCCAGTCTGGCACGAACGGCTCGAATAGTTCCTAGTTGAAAAAGTGAAAAAGCATAATAGGACCCCTTTAACAAAATCATCAGCAACTACTAGGGTGTGCTTGCCCATGCACATGTTGCCTTCAACAGGAGGCTGTGGGATTTCAAAGTATCATTTAAAGCACAGACAAACGATGCAGGGAATAATTTGTTAAACTGCTGAAATCCTTAACCTCATGTATGAACCGTTTAGTGATGCTTACCTTAGCGAATACCACTAACGGACATCATTTCTGATCAGATTTAATCCGTTTCCTGGTAATGTTTTTTTGGGCCAAATAGTTTGAACAGAAGCAAACTTTTTACTTTAGGTTTTACATGTATTTACTTTTACTTAATTACTTGTTTTGATGTTTCTGTTTACCAGGTAAAAATGTTGTGATGCCAAATGAAGCCTAAAGTTTATGATTTATGAACTTGGTTACATTGTATAATAACTGTCATTAGTAATTGATTAAAACATCATATAGTGTTTGATCAACAGTTTTTGTATTTTCAAATATGAACATAAAGGAAAATATATAATATCCAAGGATCATGGCATTTCTAGATATTTAAAGTATTGAATGAATGATCTATCAAACTAGGGATGTAACGATTAACCGGTTAGCCGGTTGAAAATCGATTTAAATATGTGACGATTCAAATCGGTTGAGATGCTCAATTAGGGGTAGGAGTTTATATGAATGTATGTCTGAGCCTGAGGGGAACTTACTGTCTTTCAATGGTATTTTTTCTTTTCATCTTGCTTCTGTATAATGCATATTAAAGTTCATAAGTGCAGCGCTGCTTTGTTTACAGCGGAAACTAAGGAAACGCTTTAAGCGCCACCTGCTGGCAGAGAGTGAATCTGCGTCTCATTCACACATTGAATTTATAATTTGTCTTAAATCTCATTTGTTAAAAAAAATTGTGAATCGAATCGAATCGTGAAATCTAAATTGTGAATCGTTACATCCCTATATCAAACATTAATGTAATAAAACTTGTTAATGTTGCCAATGAAAATGACCAGGTTTATAAATCAATAACTCATAACGTCTTCATATTGTTTAAACATAAATCTTCCTGAATTTTGATGAGGTCACATATACACTGTATTTACACCTGGCCAGGCTCAGAATGTTTACTGATACGGACCAATCAGCTGCAGGCTACTCTTCAGCAACAGGAAATGAATTAACTACGTAACCAACTTTACTGGAACAAAACCGACTGCTGCAGAATGAAAGAAAGAGAAAGCGAGTAACTGTTTTCACACCTCTTTAGTGCCGTCTCTTCTGAGAGCGTCTTCACTTTTACCGCCACTTTCCTGCAGGAAACACACATGATCAGACCAACCCAATCATGAGCACTAAATACTTCAGTGATGAGATTAATTGGAAAGTAAATGGAGACTTGTGCTTAAATCTCCTGTACATGTGTCTCCTCTAGAGTTTTAGAAGAGATCTCAAACATTTCTAAATACAAGCTAATTACAATAAGATTTATTTATTTATAAATGCTGCCTTGGCAGCTAAATGAAGTAGGTTTAAGTTGCAGCACTAACATAACTAACTGAAAATAAATAAAAAACTAAAACTGAACTAAAGACATAACCAAAATAATAATTAAAGCTAAATAGTAATGTTTAATAATAATAATAATAATAAAATGACAAAGCACATAACAAAAAGACTTAAAATGTCAAATAAAAACAGAAAATATAAAAATAAAAACTAATTGAAAATATTAATAAAACTTTAACTGTATATAAATTAAACTAAAATAACACTGATCTCAATATTAACATTTCTCAGCAAATTTCAAAAACTAAATAACAGTGCTATTCTAACTACATAAATTTTAGAGGTCCATAATCCTACTGTATGACAACTATTGACTCATTTGTGTCTATATTTTATTTCTCCAAAGGAACTTTGGGAGAAACATCTGAGATTTATTAATACTTAAATTGTTACTGAAACTCTCCGGAGATATGAAAGAGCAACATCTGAGCAGCTTGTCTCTGGTTTGGTGAGTGAATTCACAAGTCAGCGAATCAGGGATGAAATGATATCACTTTAAATAAATAATCAGCATTAATATTCAATTGCAGGCGGCAGTCTGGTGATGTAATTTAGCTGAACATGGAAGCACAAGTGAAAATCACACAGACTTCAGGATGAACTCAAACGCATCTTATTAAAAGAGACGCTTAGAAACCGAGGAAGCAGCACGTCTGGTCTTGACTTGACTTACCCTCCGTGTTCGTCCCGTGCTGGTCTGGTCTGGGCCGCCCCGTTTATTGTCCATATCAGCATGAGAGGATGAGGAAGAGGAAGGAGGAGGAGGAGGAAGACCCAGACGCAAGCCTGCAGACCGATGGCCCACCGGAGAGCCGCTGCTGCTCTGAAATACACACAGACACAACATACACGATATACATCACATAAACACACTATAATCTAACACTATCTGTATGTATATGAAGAGTTTGGTTCCAAAACGCGATAAACGCCATTTTAAAAAAAATTGAGTTTCCGCCAAAATCAGTATTGTATTTGGTCGGTATTGAAAAGTAAATTTTTAATTTTACGCAAAATGCGATATCCGCCGAGTTATTCTGTCATGTTTTCTCCCTTTTTTTCAAACCGCGACAAACGCCAGTCTCCCTCCTCTGCAGAATGCGATATATCCGCTCAACCAATCACAGCGCACCATTCCACGCACTCAAGATGACCCGTTGAATTCTTTTTGGGAGCGATGACTGATTGAATGAATTTTTAGTCCAGTGCTCGTATATAAGATTAGTATTGACCAAGTTCAGAGGCTGTCATATGTGGATCAACTTACTATGTTGTGTATTTTCAACAGTTTCAATATGAAAAATAACTTTTGTATTGATTCAATGGATTTATTGCATTTTGGAAAAAAAAAAAATGTGTCATGGATTTATTGCATTTGGGGGAAAAAATTATTACATTTTATAATAAATCTTTGAAAATAAAAACTGGGTTTTAAATTTTTAATGTTATTATAACCTAAAGATGTTATGTGAAGGTTTGAAACAGAAAATAGTGGTTTTCATCTAGCCACTTTCTTGGTAAAGAAAACACATTTTTACTCAAATTAATCAAAATGGATTTATAGTGTTTTGGAACCAAACTCTTCATATATATGTGTGTGTATGTAGAGACTATGTGTGTTAATATAAATAACTGTATAAAGAGTGTATAAAAAGGGGCGGAGCTAGGGTTGGCCACCCCACTCACGACTGCTGCATCTGTCTCTTTTTTTGTGGTCTTTAGGACCACATCAAACAGGAGACTTTCAGACACGCACTCCAACTTCACATTCATTTACAAATCCTTCTGTGTCTGACAATCTTATGCATGTCATTAAAAATGCAATTCTATACAAAAATCCAATTCAACATATAAAATCCAATCAGCAGTGCAATCCTTGCATGCAGACACATGAATAACCATTGGATGGACCAATGGGAAGTGGACTGTTTCACAAAACACTGAGGTTTGATACTCACTCTGTTTGGAGCTCCATCTACAGAAATGAAGAGAGACACAGAAGGATTGACTCATGTTATCTCGAGCATTCACAATATATATCAGGAATATTCCGGATTAACTTCAATCTAATGTCTATGGAGCAAATCTCTGGCATGCTGTCGCTTACCACAGACAATCAAAAAAGAAGCAAAAATCACATTTACACTAATGCACGTACAATGGCAGTCTACGGGGCTTTCCAGAAGAAATGTAAAGCTTCAAATCTGTAAAAATGTTGCTATTTGAGCTGTCTAGTTGTCTAAATCACCACTTTGAGGTGAGACTACTTTTCTAGGCGAAGGAAAATTCACAAATTTCATTCCATGTAATTCCACTGAATGGAGTTTGCAGTGTCCATGTCTGAATATACGTACTTCCCTACTATATAGTATGCAAAAAGCGGTCAGGCTTCATGTGATAGTTGTAACAGTAATTTTGCATAAATTAAGGTCATACAAGAAAAACTACCATAATTTGAAATGACTATAGATTTAACCCACTAATAGATTCCCACACACCTCTGGAGTCCAGGGGCTCGGGGTGAGTGATGTCATCTTTAGGCGCCAGGTGCGGGGGGAACGGGAAGGCCCCGGGAAGAGCCATGAGGCTCGCACCCGCTCCCAGGGTCAGTCCTGAGGGGTGTGGAGTCAGAGGGAAGCCTGGGGCATGATGGGATAGATGCTGAAACTGCTGCTGCTACAAAGGAGGAATGGAGAGGAAAATGTCAAGTGAATGTAAAACCTTTTTTATGTAAAAACATTTGGTTACACTTTATTTTAAGGTGTCCTTGTTACAGTGTAATTATACATATAAGTACTCAGTAACATTAATTAACTACATGTACTTATTATATGGTGAGGGTTAGGATTTGGGTTTGGATTAGGGTTACTTGCATGTAATCATGCATAATTCATTGTTATTATAATAGTAAGTACATGTAACTCTAGTTTGAAAAAGTTTTTTTTTGTGTCTTTTTTATTAATAATTTATCTAAATACAATCTTTTATTAATTATTTTATTTAAATAATTTGTCTCATTTAGCAGACGCTTTTATCCAAAGCGACTTACAGTGCATTCATAGGATTTGGGTTTGGATTAGGGTTACTTGCATGTAATCATGCATAATTCATTGTTATTATAATAGTAAGTACATGTAACACATGTAACACGGACACCTTAAAATAAAGTGTTACCTATAGAATTTATGAGCACATTAAAAAAAATGTAATTCAGTGTAACAACAGTTTGTATACCAAAAGTCTTCTCAGGCATATAAGAATCATTAGATGACATTAAAAGACTATTTAAGGACCACAGTGCAGAGCCCAAAATACTAATTAATTTTCATTTGAAATCTTTACCAATCTTTGCCACCATTCATCAAACCACTAGGTTTTACCCATTAGTCAGCAAGAAGTTTTTAATAATTTAAAATACAATAAAAATTAATATAATCACTAATACATTTTTATATAATTTAATAAGTATTACGATTGAAAAGATTGATGTTTAAGTTTTACATAAATATATGTGTTATGCTGAATGATGATGGAACATTATTTCATCCATATTTTGACATTTTATGTTCACAAAAGTTATTTGAAACATTAAAGTATATATATATATAATTTGTCTCATTTAGCAGACGCTTTTATCCAAAGCGACTTACAGTGCATTCAGGCTATACATTTTTTACCAGTACGTGTTAGTTTTTTTATGTCTAATAGTAATGATAATTTTTGTTTATTAGAAATTAGAAATGTTTCCTTGGGAATTAGCTGACAAGTTTACTTTTTTAAACAATTTTAATTTAATTTTATTTAACTTTTTTTATTTCAAGTAACAAAATTTTTTTTTATGGTTTTAGTTTTAGTCAACTTTAACAATCCCGAGCAGAGCTGAAAGATATCAGGCTGATGAAGGGCCTGCTTATTCTTATCATTGGTCAGACTGAAAACTCTACTGATGTTTGATTGATTAGGTTGACATGAAGAAAAACAGACTCACCCCGATGATAGCGTTGAGCTCGGCCATGCTAACGTGTTTGGATCTTTCCACTGCTTGAGCGACCTGATGCTGATGCTGCAAGAACACACAAATTCAGCATGCACCATCACACATGAAGCCTGAATAAAACAAACCAGCTAACAGAGAAGATATTCAAAGATCAAGACCAAACCTGCAAAACTACACCCAAGGCAAAACCTGCTACACGACAGCACCTTTCATTGTGAAAAACCACAAACAAAGCAGAAGCGCATGTGC